AACCAGGTGTGCAGATCTGCTTTCCCACAGGGAATCAGGCCTGCATTGTACCTAGGCTGCTATGAGATTTACTTTTGCTGAAACTCCCTCACTCTGAGTTAAGACTACAGATGTTTAATAAAGCAACTCTTTAAAATCTGTGCTAAGATGTCCCAAGGAAGAAATGTAACCAAATCAATCATTTTTATCATTCCCTTGCATTTGCAATTCTTTTTCTTTTTGTGTTATCTGTAAGAAATAATCACTTAACTAAATCTAGAAATAATGAGAACCTTCTTCGATGTAATGTGATTGGGAAGCAATAAAAGCCTGTCCAAGCAAGGGTCAGGGTGCTCTCCCCTTGAGAGAGTGGCTGTGCTGTCCCTTTTTCTCCACAGGACTTGGTAGTCTCTGTGAATTTGTTTACCTAATTCACAACATACAGACTCCAGAGGGCCAGGGTCTGCATCAAAGATGAATATGGAACCCATTGTAAGGGAAAACACTTCCACCAATGATATATCTGACAAGAGTTTAATCTCCAAAGTATGCAAAGAGCTAAGACAACTCAACACGAGGAAAACAAACAACCCAATTAAGAAATGGACAAAATATCTGAATAGATACTTCTTCAAAGAGGACATACAGAAGGCCAATAGACATATGAAAAGATGCTCAACATCATTAATCATCAGAGAAATGCAAATTAAAATCTCAAAGAGATATCACCTTACACCTGTCAGAATGGCTATCATCAACAAATCAACAAACAACAAGTATTGGTGAGGATGTGGAGAAAATGGAACCCTGTTACACTGTTGTTGGGAATGCAAATTAGTTCAGCCACTGTGGAAAACAGTATGGAATATCTTTTAAAAAATAAAGATGTGCCCTGGCTGGCATAGCTCAGTAGATTGAGTGCAGGCTGTGAACCAAAGCATCACAGGTTTGATTCCCAGTCAGGGCACATGCCTAGGTTGCAGGCCACAGCCCCCAGCAACCTCACATTGATGTTTCTTTCTCTCTCTCTCTCTTTCTTCTCTCTTTCTCCCTCCTTTTTTTCTCTAAAAATAAATAAATAAAATCTTTTAAAAAATCTTTACAAAAAAATAAAAATGTAACTCCCTTTTGACCCAATGATTCCTCTTCAGGGAATATAACCCAAGGATCCTGAAACTCCAATACAAATATATATATATATTTCTGAGATATATATATATATATGTGTGTGTGTGTGTGTGTGTGTGTGTGTGTGTGTGTGTATATATACCTCTATGTTTATAACAGCACTATTTACAATAGCCAATATTTGGAGATAACCTAAGTGCCCATCAGTGGATGAGTGAATAAAAAAGCTTTGGCACATTTACACAATGGTATACAATACAGCAGCAAAAAAGGAGAAACTTTTACACTTTTCAACAGCATGGATGGACCTGGAGAAAATTATGCTAAGTGAGTTAGCCAGTCAGTGAAAGAAAAATACCACATGACCTCACTTATATATACAAACTGATAAACACAATAAACTAATGAACAAGATAGTAACAGACGCTTAAATACATACAACAGACTGACAGCTGCTGGAAGTGAGGAAAGGGGGTCGATAAAAGATGGTGAAGGGATTGAACAAAAAACATTTATACACAACCCAAGGAGACAAACAACAAAGTGGGGATTGTCTTGTGATGGGGAAAGTGTAGGGCTGGGTGAGGGAAGGGATAGGGGAACCACTGTAATAGTTTAAACAATAGTAAAAAACTAGTAAATGAATAAATAAATAAATAGCTATCTCAGAAATAAATTCATGCCCTTTTTAGTCAGTTAATATTTGACTAAGTAGGCAAGAACTTATAATGGAGTAAAGATAGCCTATTCAAAATACTTTGTTGGAAAAATTGGATGTGTATAAACAAAAAAAAAATGAAATTATACTGACTTCTTACACCATACACAAGAATAAATTTAAAATGGATCAAAGAATTCAATGTAAGACTCGACTATAAAAATCCTAAAAGAACATACAGTAAAATCTCAGAAATTTCTCATAGCAATGTATTTTTTGTTATGTCTCCTCAGGCAAGGTAAATGACAGAAAAAATAAACAAATGGGACTACATCAAATTAAAAAGCTTTTCCCAGCAAAGGAAACCATCAACAAAATAAAAAGACAACTCACTGACTGGGAGAATATATTCACTAATGATACATTTGATAAGGGGTTAATATCCAAAATTTATAAACAACTTATAAAACTCAACACACACACACAACCAAACAATCCGATTAAAAATGGGCCAAGGTCCTGAATAGACACTTCTATAAAGGGGATATATAGATGGCCAATAGACATATGAAAATATGCTCAACATTAGTAATAATCAGAGAAATGCAGATTAAAACCACAATGAGATATCACCTCACACCTGTCAGAATGGCTATCATCAATAAATCAACAAACAACAAATGTTGGCAAACAACAAATGTGGAGAATAGGGAACCGTTTTGTCCTGTTGGTGGAAATGCAGATTGGTACAGTCACAGTGGAAAACAGTGTGGAGTTACCTCAAAAAACTAAAAATGAAACTGCATTATAACCCAGCAATTCTACTTCTGGGGATATCTCTGAAGAGATCCAAAATAGTAATTAAAAAATAGATGTCACATTATTTACAATTAGCAAGATCTGGAAGCAGGCCAAGTACTCATAATTAGATGAGGGGATAAAAATGCTGTGGTATGGTTACGCAATGCAATACTACCCAGATGTAAAGGAGAATATCTTACTATTTGAGACAACATGGATGAATCTGGAGAATATTATGCTAAGTGAAATAAGCCAGTCAGAGAAAGACAAGTACCACATGATTTCACTTATATGAAAGTGTATCCAGAAGGTATCCAGCCATATCATATGAAAAAATAGAGACATTTATTAAAGAACATACAAGATACAAGAAACATTGTACAAAGGACAATGATGCTTCAGCCCCCATCAAAGTAGGCACCTTGGGACCTCACACAGTCTCCCAATCACAATCAACTACCTTGTCATATTTTCCCGAATCTCATTGATGGTCTGAAATCTCTTCCCTTCAAAGGTGATTTAGTTTGGGGAAAAGTCAGAAGCTGCAGGGGGCCAAATCTGTGCTGTACAGGGGCTGAGTCACCTGGTTGATTTGAGATTTTGCCAAAAAACTGCATGAGACATCATGCATGAGGGAGCACATTGTTGTGATAAAGCTGCCAATCACCAGTTGTCCATAGCTGCGGCCTTCTGAATCATCCAAACAGTTTCTGCAGAGGAATGTTCAAGCTTAATGCAAAATTTGATGCAGATTCATTGCTTTACTCGCTCAGCCATTTTCAATGCAATGGCCATGCAGTACACATTCTCACTCAATGACACCTACTGCCCCCACTGACTATTACAGTGAAGTCATCATTGTTCATGCATGTGCATTCCAGTCCACTCTCCTTGGCTGCCGTGTTACACTGGTGTCACTCAAACTGTTCATATTATATTAACATTGGCTGGACTTTTTCCAGACAGACCTTGGTATGTTTAGTCTAATGAATGAAATAAACAAAGAAAATAGAAATGGACTCATAAATAGAGAAAAAAGATTGACAGTTGTTAGAGAGAAAGTGGGTTGGGGGACTGGGTGAAAAAGGTGAAGGGATTAAGCCAAAACAAACCTTTATAGACACAGTCAACTGTATGGTGGTACCAGAGGAAAAGGCCGGAGGTGGGAGGAGGAAGAGTGCAAAGGAAAGATAAATAGTGATAGAAAGAAACTTGACTTTAAATGGTGAACTCACAATACAATATACTGATGATGTATTATGGAATTATACACCTGAGACCTATATAATTTTATTAGACAATATCAGCTCAATAAATTCAATAAATTAAAGAAACTGAAAAATCAGATGAAGATGGACAAAGTGCATCATATTCTCCAAACCATCAGTTCTCAAACTTGGGCAGGCATAAGTATATGCAAAAAGTATGTGAGAAATGCTTAGGTTGTGGCTTCAGTTCTCCGTCAGGGTTCATATGAGAGGCAACCAATCAATGTTTCTCTCTCACATCAATGTTTCTCTCCCTAATCTCCCTTCCTCTCTCTCTAAAATATCAATAAACATATCCTCAGGTGAGTTTAAAAATGTAGTTCTGATTTAGATAGTTGCTGATACATAAAAATGTTTTGTAGTCCAAAAGAACTTAATGATTTTTATTGACTTTTTAATTGGGGAAAGGGAGAGACATGATCTGTCCATAACTTGGTTGCATGGGTATCTATAAGGATTTTCTGGGTGACAATTAGGAAAAAACACCACTTTATCTTTCTCCTTTCCCAGCCAAATGTCTATAAGAAGTGAAGCTCAGTTTGGGGTCTGAGGGGGCAATAGCATGGTCCCAAGAGAGTGTCTGACACATTCCTTGTCCAATTCCATGGCCAGGGCACTGACCTCATCTCTAGCCTAATCCAGCAGAAGTTTCCAGAACATTTTGAAAAGTGTTAGGGTGAAAGGAGCTGCTTCTTGAACTGAATTCTGCACCAAAAAAAGTCAGCCTCAGTATGTACAGACCTGTAGAGAGAGGAACTTTCTTATTGAAAACTTTGGCCCAGAAATTTCTGGGTGAGTTCATTTTTTGTACAAAGCATGATGCTGGCAGCCACCTGTACAGATGTACAGAGAGCTGGGAACAGGCAAGGGAAGGCCAGGAGTTGAGCCTGAATACTCCCAAAGTCTTCCATTCCTTCTGCTACCAGTGAGGTTGTTACTACCTGCTAACCAGCCTGTGTGGGGAAAGCCCAGCTCCCAAAGTATCAAAAAGCATGTTCTCTAAGAGGCTGTGGGTATTATTGGCACTAACTGAGCACCAGCAGTGTGTTCATGGACTTGACTTTGTTATGGTTTCCATTTTTAACTCTACCAATCACCCCATTCTGCACTGAAGGCAAATACTATCTCAGAGCCCCAGCCTGAGCCAAGCTGAATCATTGAGGGAATCATGGCATTGTCCGCTCCTGGAGTCTCTCTCGAAGCAGCCACTGCCCTTTGGGGTTTTCTGTCTCGAAGTAGTCTTCCCCTGGAAATGCCAGTGGTTCCAGTGCAAAGATCTCTGCATTCCATTCCATGTCTTCTCCAGAGAAGTTGAAGAGGATCTGCCTGGAGCTTCCTAGGCTGGAAGGAGGGAGACAGAAGAGAGAGTAAGTTCAGTTTGGCTCAGAGAAGGGGTGCTCTGATTTACCACTCCAATGGAAACCAGTGCTGGGCTTTGTGGAGGACAAAGCAGTGTTATCATAGGGGCTGTGGATGGACCTCAGCTGGACCTCAAGCTGAGCTTGAAGGAGAAAAGAAGATGATGAAGGCTGGATCCTGGTTCATTGTTATGGGAGGTAAATGCTATTTAGAAAACTCCTGAATCCATCAGAATTGAATGGCCTTTGTATAAACAGGGAGGTTCTCCCAGTTATGGCCTGAGTTGGCCATAACAAGAGAGCACTTACTGTTCTGAATGAATAGGTTACAGGAATTTTGGGCTAGGGATAGTCACTAGTCTTGTGAGAGAAGGATATGGAGAGAGAGAGAGCCCAAAACATGGTGGAAAGATGGCAAGAGGCGTATAGCCAGCAAGTTCTTCACCTGAGCCTGGCCAATATCTTTTTAAGGCATGGGCATTTAATTGGTTTGATGTTGGTTCCCACTTGGTGCTATGCACTCTTAAAGCATGAACTCTCATTAAAAATTCATTATATACAATGTATTTGTGACACTTAGGGGGGATAAGAAAAGAGGATGACACAAAGCATGAGGACTAAATGGGCCAGAAGGAAAGAGGGGGAAGATACAGAGTGGAAGCAATAGTTAGGAGTGGTGACAGCAGTGAACCAAGTTAGTGTCTATAATATGAAAAGTTTTTTTAAACTAAGACCTTCATCCTCCAAAATACACAAGAATAATTTTTGGTGTGTAGGATGGCAGCTCAAGTCACCTTAAAGCACATCCCAAGAGTCTGGAGGATTTGAGTACATCTTAATTATACTATGTAGCCCAAGCACTTACTCATTTTTGCATACTTTGGGCTTAAACTTCAAGGTGTTGAATGCTCCTTCCACAGCCTTGGGTAAGTAAATGGGGTGCCTCTCAAGTCTCCTCTGAGTGCCAATGGTTCTGCACTCCATGCTTCTTTGAAACTGGCCATCTGTCATGTGTACGCAGTGCACAGCCACATCCTCAGAGTGCTGGCGTGGCACCCGCAGGATCCAGTTGGAGTGTAAGCAATGCTCTTGGGAGCTGGTGGCCACTGAAAGAGAGAAGCAGGGCCCTCGTAAAGGAGTACTCATCATTGGGAGGAGAAGAATGCAATGGAGAGAATGAACAGAGCTGAGAACCTACAACAAATGCATATATATAGCAGCAAATTCCTAGAAAGTGCTGGAGAATCAAAGAGGCTGATTTGACTCTGAATTTATGGTGTAGGAATACAATTGAAAATTGTGTGTCAATTAAAAATAAAAACATATGTCTATATGTACTAATTGGAAAGATGCCTAAGGTGAAAATAGCAGATGACAAAATAGAAAAGAGATCCTATTTTTTTTTGCTATAAAGCAATGGAGCTTTATTTTTTATTTTTAATTATTTTATTGTTCAAGTACAGTTGTCTGCATTTACACCCCACCACTCCCTCCACCCCAGCTATATCCACCTCCCTCCCCTGCTTCCATTCCCCTTGGTTTTGTCCATGTGTGACAGCATGGATGTAACTAGAGAGCATTATGCTAAGTGAAATAAGCCAGGTGGTGAGAGACAAATACCTGTTTTTGTTTTAAAAAAATAAATTGAGTTTGAGTGTTTGTGTTTAAAACCTTTGTAAAAGGACAAATGCCAAAATGTTAACAGTAATTACTTTCTCTGTGTGGTAGTATTACAGATCACATTCTTCTTTATGTTTTTGTGTGTCATTTGGTTCAATTGATTTATAGTATGTTACTATAAATCATATAGTATGTATGTTCCTGTTGTTATCAGAGAAAAACCATAAAGTCTTAAAAAATTATAACTATGAAGATGACATGCATCCTCAGTGGTTTTGTTATCCTTTCATCAATACCCTGGATTCCAAGGCTCTGCTCCTGGGGAAAGAGGTGTTCATTGTCAGGGACTGAAGGGGCTTGGAGGGAGGGGAGGGGGAGGCAGCCTCCCTGCAGGGTACAATGAGCTTGTGGGAGCAGTAGCCTGTGAAATTCTGCAGAACCCAGTGAGATCTGAAATCTCACAGATTAAGGGCAGTCAAGGCCAGAACTACAACAACAAGAATATAACCTTTTGATCATTAGATAAAACACTAAAAAACTATTTAATATTGTTACCAAAAGTTGTTACCTCAGTAATCCCTGAATAAAATTGTCATTAATTATACCATGCAGGGGCAAGTCAAAGATTTAAAAAGCTGACATTTGAGTAATGGAATTTATAAGTGGCTCAACTCATGAATATGTTGAATTTTTCACTCCACACCACAGCCATGACATACCTAGATAAGGAAAAAACTATTACTCTCAACCCTCACCCCACTCCCTCTCCAGCTGTCCATGCTGGGCCTAGGGAAGCACCCTGACCCTCTCCTGCCTTACATATCCTTTCAGAGTAATGACTTATGAAACAGAGGGAGGGCTGAAGGAAGGGGTGCAGAGGGATGACAAAGTAGGTGAAGGATAAGCGCTATGTCCAACAGCTGGTACTGCCCTAAAACCAACCTAGCTCAGGCAGGGTCTGAAGATAAATTTTAAAATATAGTTTGTCCTATTTTCTCTTAAAAATTATAGTAAAATACAGATAACAAAATTTACTACCTTAATGATGCTTTAGTGTATTGTTTAGTAGTATTGAGTATATTTACTTTGTTAAGTGATGGATTTCCAGAACATTTCATCTTGCAAAACTGGAACTATCTCTATACCCATTTAGCAACAATTCTCTATCTAATGCATTTGTTTAAACATTTTTCTGTTGTTTTGCCTCATGGAGTCCTACAAAAGTTTCACCCTTTCTCAGATATGGCAATGGACCACAGGGAAGTTTTTGCCCAAATATGGCCTCATGTGTTAAAGGGGCAGGCTGAAGCAGTAGCAACAGAGACAACTAAACTAAGGAACCACCAATAGAAGAGCAAGCTCAGGGCCAGGCTCTGACTTGCAGCTGTGAGTTTCCCTCTTATCAGGAGATGGGATTCTTGATAGCCCATCATATAAATCTACTCCAGAGATGACAACCCACCCACCTTCTGTCCCCAGGAATGGCACTCACCATCAACGTCCACATCCTCATTCATGGTGTCTGCTTCAGCCGCCCATGGCTGTTTCTCTGTGTCCAGCTCTGCAATGATGGAGTCAAAGAAGGCAATGGCCTCTGCCACGTCCGTGCTAAACTGTGAGTATTTCTTAGGGGTTGATTTCTGTTACAAGTGAAAGGGAGGAAAGAGAGTTGCTTGAGTCACCTTCATAGCCATAACTGCCAAAAATAATTAAATGTTGCTGAAACTAAATGCACGTGAAGTTATAAATCTGCAGGGTTTAAAAGGTGAATTTGACAAGTGCTCTGTGGAAATAAGGTAGATACTCCACATCTACATTACTGTAGGTCAATGGATTTCCTATTATCTTAAGGAGGAAGAGAGAAACAATGAAAAGACCTGCTTCTCTCTTGGTTAGGAATGATTATTGACCATTAGGCAAAATACTTAGTCTATCTTTGGCCTTCCTTTTTAGCTAATGATAAACATCTAATCTGGTAATTATACAGTTCCTTAGGTAGATGATGAGATGTTCACAGCAGGAAAGAGAGGACAAGATACATTGGAAATACTCACTAAAAGTTGTCAATGCCTAAAGTAGACAAACTTGGGCTCAATTCATGGAAAAAATTGTAGAGAAATTAGTATAATTGTTTGAAAAGTATAAGAAATAAAATATATAGTTAATAAAAATCTACTGAGTGCTTAACCAGGTTCAGGGTTCTGTCCTGTTTCCTTCTTCAGGATTTTATTCTTCATCATCATCTTTACAACAGCCCACCAATGGTCACAAGTGACTGACATCATAGAAGTTCAAGAACCATGGGGGACTTTGATGAGAACTCACAATGAAAGGAACAGAATCAGTGCACGGGCTAATGAAAAGTTCTCTGAGGAATTTAGGAAATAGAGAACTCAAAAGGGACAATATGTGTTAACCTTGGCTATTTTGACAATATGTAGAGTTGTATAGTTTTTAAGTTTTACATTGACATTTTGAAAGTAGAATGTTATTAATAATAAATATGAATTAACCACAGACTAGCATATAGGGAAATGCATGTATAAGATTTTGGTGTGATGTATGCATTTTGTACTATTAGAAAGCACTTCTAAAGCAAGAGTTTTTTTTTTCTTACAGAAAATATTAAAGAACCACAACACATCTGAATCTTCTTTTTTAAAGTGGAAAAGTATCCAAATGCCATTATTATCCCCTCTTCAAAGAGCCCACTAAACTGAAAGCGAGGAAGGGAGAAAAGTAGAAACCCCAATGATGAGAACAAAAGAGGTCATCAGTGAAAGATTTCCAAGAGCTTACAGCAGTTAGAAAGCAATAGGAAAAGGGTAATTGATGTAACAGAGCAGAGGGACTGACATCCCAGAGCTTCAATGGTGGAGAAAGCAGCAGAGGAAAGGGACATTTTGAACTTTGGGAACTGAAAATTCTCCAGATTTGACAACAGCAAATATATCAAGATTTGGGAGTGGAATGAAGGACTGATGAAGGACTAGTTGAAAGTCCATATGAGCACAGCATGCCAGGCCACCAGGCATCTTCCTTGCAGTCAGATGACAACAGGGCTCATCAATATAGGCAAGTCAGTATTCTTTTACCCTCCTTGTGTTTTTTCTTGCTGATCCCTCTGCCTTTGATGTCTCTTCTGGCTCACTCCTATTCATCTATGAAGACTTGGCTGATATGACCTAGCAATATCACTTCTGGATATATATCCAAAAAAACCCAAATCACTAATTTGAAATAACATGTACACCCTAGGATTCATTGGAGTATTACTTACAATAGCCAAGATATGAAAATAACCCAAGTGCTCAACAATAGGCAAAAGAATAAAAAATTTGTGGTACATATATATAATGGAATATAATTTGTTCACAAAAAGAATAAAATCTTAGCACGTGTGGCAGCATGGATGAACCTAGAGTGTATGATGCTAAGTAAAATAAGTCAGTCAAATAAAGACAAATACGATGATTTTACTTATATGTGGAATCTAAAGAACAATATAAATGAACAAACAAAACAGAAACAGACTGATAGAGAACAGACTGATGACTGCCAGAGGGGAAGGTAGTTAGGGGACTCTGTAAAAAAGGTGAAGAGATTAAGAAGTACAAAATAGTCATGAGGATGTGAAGTACAGCATAGGGATTATAGTTAATAATATTGTAATAATTCTGTATGGTGTCAGTTGGATAATGGAAATATCAAGCGGGAACACTTTATAAAGTATATGATTATCTAACCACTGTACTGTAAACCTGAATCTAATAAAAATAATATTAAATGTGGCCCTGGCTGGTGTGGCTCAGTGGTTGAGTGCTGGCTTGAGAATCAAAGGGTCACCAGTTCAGTTCCCAGTCTAGGGCATATGCCTGGGTTGTGGGCCAGATCCCTAGTAGGAGGTGTGTCAAAGGCAACCACACATTTATATTTCTCTCCCTCCCTTCTCTTCTCTAAAATAAATAAATAAATAAACTCTTTTAAAAATGAAAAATAATACTAAATGTAAAAAAAAAAGGAATTGGCTGACACAATTCTTTCTCCATGAATACTACCCTCTCTTCATTCTACTATCACACAAATCATTTTTGAGATTTTATTATTGTGAAGTGGAAGAGAGAGAGAAAGAATGGAGAAAGTCACACAATCTAGACTGAGCCCCCCTAAAAGGATAAATATTATTTAAGAGGAATGCTAGGTCCATAAATTTTTGCATCTCAAAATCCATCTCAACATGGAGAGGATGTCTCTAAGTCTCCAGTAGCAACTACCATCATTGTTTGGCTTAATACAATGTGAGTCTCAGTCTTGCATGTGAATATCATATTTTTTTTTCATCTGAGTAACTTTATAATTGATGTAAGCTATTCATTCCTCAATGTCTCCAGGAAGTAGACTTTGGCAATCAGCAAGAGCAGCCCAAAGCAGTTGCTTTCATTTAGGAGGATTAAGAAGGGTCTTTGGTGTCTTTACTATCAAAGGCTTAGGGAAAAATTAGCACATTACCATTAGTGAAGTTAATATGAGCTCTTTACTGTGGCCTCTTATGAATCTCCTGAACCTCCTCAAGTATTATCCTCCAAGAATAATATTTACAAATTAAAAAAATAAACCACTAGCATATACATCACCATGTTAGCCACTTAACTCTCTGTCCATCAAAACTAGCGGACAAAGACCCTTTCAGTAGCAACTTGTTAATTATTACAAATATTTGAATGTATTATTAATTCCAAAACTTCAAGCTTTAATATTCAAGACTCATATCTTCCTCCTATGTCTTGCCCTTTCTACTCAGCAGAGACTGCCTTCTTGGGAACATCCTGAGATACTGACAAGCACCTTAGACAACACTGAAATGTTTCATTTTCTAGGTCCCACATCTGAGGTCTCTGTTGAGTCAGTCAATGTTGGGAGCCAACCAACAGCCAACCCTTGGCACAGTTGGGATGGATGAGACACATCTGCACAGCAGAGGAGATTGTGGCTGGATCTCCTGTCTATCTCTTCCTGTATACCTGTCCCTGATAGCAATAGGTGGTGGGATTTTTGGACACCTGTGCTTTAAAACAAAAAATCTGCATGATGCTTCTGGTTCTGCATGAAATGACTTATTGACCACAGAATAGAATTCCCTAACAACCCTAATGCTGCCTACTTCCCCCATCTGGAAAGTTAAGGACAAAATTAAACTATGAACAGACCAGCTGCCAGAATGCTGGAGGAAGCTGTTGCTAGGAATGCTCCCTAAGGAGTCACCACTTAAAAGCTCAAGATTTATTAAAGCCACTGCCCCTCCCATACCCTAGACAGGAATGTTTATTGATGGGACCAGGTGGGTAAAGAAGGAAGGAGTTTAAATTAAATATAATAATCACAATACATGGAAACAAATACAAAACATGGCCCCCCCAAAGATGTATAAGTCAACAGACCTAGGCAAAAGACCATTTATCTAACTTAGACAATCTAACCTCAGTAAACAATAGCTGACTTTTAAATCACCCCTTGCACCCTTTTAATTTAGGCCAATTTATAGAACCTTAGTAGACATTTAATTATTAATTGGCACTTAAAAGTTTGTGCCCGTATAGCTTTGTTAGCTAGCTGATTGATAACCCTCTTGGTCAAAATAACCTTTGTTTAACATGATTGATCTGTAAAACCTCCTGTACTTTTTGGCTATTTCTTTGTTTAACATGATTGATCTGTAAAACCTTCTGTACTTTTCAAAGTTATTTCTATGGTAACCATTTCTGTTTTAATAATCACACTATGTACCTGCTCCATAAAATATTGTATAACCTCCCCTATAAAAATAAAGATTGATTCTTCTCGGGGAGTCAGTCAGGCTTAAAGAACCTGGCTGCCCTCTAGAACCCCACTTTGTGTCTGTTTCCTTCACCTAGCCATTCCTCCTTCAGGGACCCTGAGACCCGCTGAGGCTGGACCCTGGCAAGTCAATAAATTAGCATTAGAAAACTTGTCTCTGTTAAGAGCTTTTGGATCCTGGTATGGCTGGAGTGTGAGATATTGGGGCATTCTGGTGACATTATTTGTGGCTGATCCACACATACTTGTGTGAGCAAGTCTCATCATAAAATGAGGCTTTCCTTTACTCCCTTGCCCCAACTACCCTTACCAGTTCTCATCAAACCCTTCATGAAATGAGATAGGTGAATGAATAAATAATTGCTTTCCTTCTTACTTAGCCCTGGTTTTCTTCTCTGTAAATGAAAGCACCAGTCCTTGACCAAGTCTAAGAATCCAGCCTGGGAGGCAGGGAGGGGATGCCTCTCCCTCAGCCCGGCATGATGATTCTTTGACGGTCCAACCCAATCCCAGCTAGGCATCAGAATCTGGGGTGCTCTTAAACAATATCTATACTTGGCCCTTTCCCAGACCAATTAGTTCAGATAATCAACTGATTCTAATGCACAGCAGTTGTAAACCACCAGTGTGTAGAAACCCTGGCATGGGGGAGAGACCCATGGCTGAGATTTTTTTAGCTTTCCTTCAGCTGCCATGGGCTTTTCCCACCTCTACAAGGACATTCTCTTGGTCGACTCTCACAAAGAACACCAGCACAAAAGCTGCATCAACTGAGGCTCAAAGATAAGGACTCAGGCTAATATCA